GCATGCAACATTTAGTACATACATTTAAGACCCGTGAAGATCCGGGGTGGAACAGGTCTTCAGCATGCTTGCCATGCCCGCCCTGAAAGGCGACTGTGCTTGTCGCAAGAGGCGACTAACTAGATCGGGCGGTGAGGCTCGCTGACTTGGTTGATGCAGGTCATCGTGTCCCAATTTCGTGGATCGATGCTCATGATATCAATCACTTTATTGTCTGGTCCAGACTCGATTATTTACAGACCGCAGTCATCTATAGAGCTGGAATATTGCTGAGTGCGGCGTTAAAAAACAAACAAACATTTGATCACTGTTCACGTTATTGTTCTCAAATGCTAAGTATGACGAAAACTCAGTATGACGAGAACTCAGTATGACGAGAACTCAGTATGACGAGGACTCAGTATGACGAGAACTAAGTATGACGAAAACTCAGTATGACGAGAACGAGGACTCTTTGGAATCATCAGAATTACCATTTGTAAACGTGGAGAAATTTGTTAAAATAGAAGTTTGCGACACACGGTTCAGAATGTATGTTTCTAAGCGAGATTTCAACCAAGAGGCCTCCGGTGGAAAATGGACAAGCAAGTCGCCCGCTCAAACAGTTTTGACAGCAAGAATTTAATCATACTGGAGACACGTGTCCACAATATCTGACATGGAAAGGGGTCGGTCGGGTAGCCTAGTGGTTAAAGCGTTCGCTCGTCACGCCGAAGACCCGGGTTTGATTCCCGACATGGCTACAATGTGTGAAGCCCATTTCTGGTGTCCCCCGCCGTGATATTGCTGGAATATTGCTAAAAGCGGCGTAAAACCATACTCACTCACTCACTGACATGGAAAGATACCCTCGGGTGTTTTCTAACAGGAATCAATTTACAACACTTGCGATCGCAAGTGGCACCAATCAGTTTAGAAAATTGAAGTCAGCCTTGTTAAACGTTTGGAGCCTTGATATGGTCCGGAAGAAACGTTTGAACCTTCTCCCTGATGATATTTCTCCGATCAATTTTCAGAGGAAATGCTTTTCTCGAGGTAAGAGGACAGTGTTGTTGTGTCGTCATTACAAGTACTGTGATGTTCCAGGCTTCCAAGCCAAGCTACCCAGGGGAACGCAGGAGCAGAAGGAGTCTCCAGTGGCCAGTGCTTGTCGTGTAAAACTAATGAGGTTCAGGTGCTCACGATGTGCGCCATCATCGCCTTACAGCGTGAGATTCCGGGTGGAATAGGTCAACCCATGCTTGCCATAAAAGGTGACTTATGCTTGTCGTAAAAGGCGACTAACGGGATCGGGTGGTCAGACTCGCTGACTAGGTTGATCCCAATTGCATGGATCGATGCTCATGATATTAATCACTGGATTATCTGGTCCAGCCTCGATTATTTACAGACCGCCGTCATTTACTTGGAATATTGCTGAGTGCGGCGTTAAACAACAAACCAACAACCTCACAGCGTGTCCCGTGAATATCCAGGTTAGGATTGGTCGTCAGCAACCTGACGCGGTGGGGTAGCTTAGTGGTTAAAGCGTTCGCTCGGTTCGATTCCTGCATGAGTACAATGTGTGAAGCCCATTTCTGGGGTCCCCCGCCGTGATATTGCTGGAATATTGCTAAAAGCGGCGTAAAACCATATTCACTCACTCACTCACTTCAGCAACCCATGCTTGCCGTGAGAGGCGACTTACGGGATCGGGTGGTAAGGCTCGCTGACTTGGTTGATGCATGTCACAGTATCCCGTAGCGTGGATCATTGCTCATGATGTCAATCACTGGATTGCCTGGTCCACACTCGTTTGCCTACAGGCCGCTGTCAACCACTTTAGTGTCAAAAGGGACAGTGAATTTAATAATGTAAATGATTTCGTTGGATTTAACAAAAAAGGACAAGGTCAGGTTTGGGTCTATTCCAAAAAATTATATAATTGTCATTTTCCATGACGCCCGCTACATATTCTGTGTCGTGCCATGGATGGACCTCTGATCCAAAACCACAAACATGGCGAAGACGAAGTAAGAACAGGATCGAGCCACGCCATTATTTGTGTTATTGTTATTATTAGTAGTAGCAGTAGTAGTAGTAACAGTAATAGTAGTAGTAGTAACAGTAATAGTAGTAGTAGTAGTAGTGACAGTAATAGTAGTAGTAGTAACAGTAATAGTAGTAGTAGCAGTAGTAGTAGTAACAGTAATAGTAGTAGTAGTAGTAGTGACAGTAATAGTAGTAGTAGTAACAGTAATAGTAGTAGTAGTAGTAGTAGTAGTAACAGTAATAGTAGTAATAGTAGTAGTAGTAGTAGTGACAGTAATAGTAGTAGTAGCAGTAGTAGTAGTAACAGTAATAGTAGTAGTAGTAGTAGTGACAGTAATAGTAGTAGTAGTAACAGTAATAGTAGTAGTAGTAGTAGTAGTAGTAACAGTAATAGTAGTAGTAGTAGTAGTGACAGTAATAGTAGTAGTAGTAGTAGTAACAGTAATAGTAGTAGTAGTAACAGTAGTAGTAGTAGTAGTAGTAGTAGTAGTAGTAACAGTAATAGTAGTAGTAGTTGTAACAGTAATAGAAGTAGTAGTAACAGTAGTAGTAGTAGTAACAGTAATAGTGGTAGTAGTAGTAACAGTAGTAGTAGTAGTAGTAGTAGTAACAGTAATAGTGGTAGTAGTAGTGACAGTAATAGTAGTAGTAGTAGTAACAGTAATAGTAGTAGTAGTAACAGTAGTAGTAGTAGTAGTAGTAGTAACAGTAATAGTAGTAGTAGTTGTAACAGTAATAGAAGTAGTAGTAACAGTAGTAGTAGTAGTAACAGTAATAGTGGTAGTAGTAGTGACAGTAATAGTAGTAGTAGTAGTAACAGTAATAGTAGTAGTAGTAGTAGTAGTAACAGTAATAGTAGTAACAGTAATAGTAGTAGTAGTAACAGTAGTAGTAGTAGTAGTAGTAGTAGTAACAGTAACAGTAATAGTAGTAGTAGTTGTAACAGTAATAGAAGTAGTAGTAACAGTAGTAGTAGTAGTAACAGTAATAGTGGTAGTAGTAGTGACAGTAATAGTAGTAGTAGTAGTAGTAACAGTAATAGTAGTAGTAGTAGTAGTAGTAACAGTAATAGTAGTAACAGTAATAGTAGTAGTAGTAACAGTAGTAGTAGTAGTAGTAGTAGTAACAGTAATAGTAGTAGTAGTTGTAACAGTAATAGAAGTAGTAGTAACAGTAGTAGTAGTAGTAGTAACAGTAATAGTGGTAGTAGTAGTGACAGTAATAGTAGTAGTAGTTGTAACAGTAATAGAAGTAGTAGTAACAGTAGTAGTAGTAGTAGTAACAGTAATAGTGGTAGTAGTAGTAACAGTAATAGTAGTAGTAGTTGTAACAGTAATAGAAGTAGTAGTAACAGTAGTAGTAGTAGTAGTAGTAACAGTAATAGTAGTAGTAGTAGTAGTAACAGTAATAGTAGTAGTAGTAGTAGTAGTAGTAGTAGTAACAGTAATAGTAGTAGTAGTAGTAGTAACAGTAATAGTAGTAGTAGTAGTAGTAGTAGTAGTAGTGATAGTGTCATTGTTGTTATCATCATAATTAATAGGAGTAGTGTTATCACCAAAATCAGCCGCATAACGGTGGAAGTCTCCAAGGGAATCGAACCCGGTCCTAGGCGTGGCGAGCTACAGCTCAGTCCTGCCCCCCACCGCAATGACGGTGGTGCCCTGACAACATGCGTTAACTCAATCCTACCCCCTACCGCAATGACGGTGGTGCCCTGACAACATGCGTTAACTCAACCCTACCCCCCACCGCAATGACGGTGGTGCCCTGACAACATGCGTTAACTAAACCCTACCCCCCACGGCAATGACGGTGGTGCCCTGACAACATGCGTTAACTCAACCCTACCCCCCACCGCAATGACGGTGGTGCCCTGACAACATGCGTTAACTCAACCCTACCCCCCACGGCAATGACGGTGGTGCCCTGACAACATGCGTTAACTCAACCCTACCCCCTACCACAATGACGGTGGTGCCCTGACAACATGCGTTAACAAGACAGTAGTCCTAGAGTTGCCTACCATAGCACAGGTGAGATACAAGGAGGTTGAAATTCCCGTGTCCCGTGTGACTAGTTCATGATGCATCTTGAAAATAACACTTAAAATTTACATTACGGTGATAATGGAGTGTACGTTTCAGTGTACTCTGTTGTAATCTAGACTTGGGCATCTTACGAACTCTAAATAGGCCCCATGCAACCTCTCGGTTTACCTGCCTTGGTGCTATTAATAAACCAGGACGTTGTTCCTGGACAAACCATGTTGAGTCACACTAGGTTCCCTGGCGGGTAACTGCCGACTGACGTTGAGCCTTCCAACCGTACACACAGGGCTGTCACACTAGGTTCCCTGGCGGGTATCTGCCGAGTGACGTTAAGCCTTCCAACCGTACACACAGGGCTGTCACACTAGGTTCCCTGGCGGGTAACTGCCGACTGACGTTGAGCCTTCCAACCGTACACACAGGGCTGTCACACTAGGTTCCCTGGAGGGTAACTGCCGACTGACGTTAAGCCTTCCAACCGTACACACAGGGCTGTCACACTAGGTTCCCTGGCGGGTAACTGCCGACTGACGTTGAGCCTTCCAACCGTACACACAGGGCTGTAGCAGGTGTGTTCGTTAAACAGACCCACAACATCGAAGTTGCTCCTCAAACGCATTATGAAGAAATCCATTTTATTGACAAGAAAGGCCCCCAGAAATGCCGACCCCGGTGTTCATCTTCCATGTGTTTTGTTGTGCTTATTTTATCGATGTTTTTAAATGGAGGATTGGGTGCATTTATTGTCTACAAGATGACACACAAAGAGCATGCTGCGCCGTTTGCTCCAGGCGAGGTTAAGCGACCGGATATTGCTGACTCTGTCTGTGTGTCATGTGCCTCTATAAACGTCCCTGACCTAGCAAGATCACCATTGGAGAATCAGGTCAAGGTCGTTATACTGGGGATAACGTTAGTCTCGGGATGTATATGAATATTGTAAGTGTTATTTAGTGTTCTAATAATCATATCCAAGAAAACATAATTCTGCACCACAGGTCGCTAATCGTCTTCTAGGTCAAGGACATTCAAAATCATTGCATGTAAATGTTTGTTTGAATGACGGTTATGCTGTTTTAATTTATAAAAGGTATTGTAAGCAAAATAATGATTGCACATATTTCTTTTGTATCTAGGTAGTCGGAGAATATTACCATGACCTCAACGGTGACAACAGAGGTGGTGACCTTCCCATCAACCATGACAGACCGGCGGCGCATCTGTATCTTGATACAAACAGCGTCACAGGTCTGTATGCTTCGTTTGATCCAATGTTTCACTCACTCACCCACTGCTTGATGAATTAAACATTAAAGACCACGTGATAATGATTGACCTTCCCATCAACCATGACAGACCGGCGGCGCATCTGTATCTTGATACAAACAGCGTCACAGGTCTGTATGCTTCGTTAAGTCCAATGTTTCACTCACTCACACACTGATTGAAGAATTAAACATTAAAGACCACGTGATAATAAGTGACCTTTACAGCAACCATGACAGACCGGCGGCGCATCTGTATCTTGATACAAACAGCGTCACAGGTCTGTATGCTTCGTTAAGTCCAATGTTTCACTCACTCACACACTGCTTGAAGAATTATACATTAAAGACCACGTGATAATGAGTGACGTTGCAACTGTACAAAGCCTTAACCTCCACTCACTCACTCACTCACTCACTCACAAACAAATGCTTTGAGGTAGCATATATAGAGACTACTATAATGTCATGAATTTAGTAATGGTATATTTCAAGGTATACACAGAGAAACATAATATGATCACTATTAACAGTGAACACGATTTGTTCATTTGTAGAAAAGGGACCTCTTTTACGGTACATAAACAAGCCTGCTCTTCAGAGCAACAATGGCGTTCCGTTTGGGTTCACGGCAACTATCTTCTGCAACACAGCAACTATCTTCTGCAACACGGCAACTATCTTCTGCACAACAACACACCCGCTACATACTTGTGAATAAGCCGCAGATAAGATTTGATCAAACTTCTTGCTTTGCACACATCAATATTTCAAACAAAGAGTGTCGTATACAAACTGGGAGTCCGGTGCATGTTTGCTGACATGCTATATATAAACATCTCCTACAGTTGTTAAGTTAGTGGACCCTTTTAACCGCTACCAGGAAGTCACACACGCCATTGCGCATAGGTGATTTCTCAGAACTGACACGAGATCTGAATATCGTTACAAGGAAGTGGAACACTTCTTATTCAAATACTTAGAGTGGGGACTGTATTCAGGGTAAAGTTTACTCCTTGTTCTTACGCTAGGTATGGTCTGAAAGCTTCAGTTATTAAGTACAGTACACAGTATCAACTGAATCGGAATAATGTATTCACTGTCGCCTGATACGGGTGGCTGTGCCATCTGAATCTCCTCAAATCTCTGTGTGACAGGATCTCACTCACTCACTCACTCATTGGCCCACTCAACCACTCACCCAAACAACCGCCACATTATTCACTCACTCACCCACCTACCAACCCATCCGCTCACTCACTTACTGACCCATCTGACCCACCCATTCGCTCAACCACCCAATCACTCACCGACCCACCCACCAACTCACTCATTCATCCAAAATCCAAACATCCACCAACCCACTCACACACCCACCCAGTCACTCAACCACCCAGTCACCCACCCACTCTCTCCCCCACTCACCGACCCAACAACCAACTCACTCATTCACACAAAACTCAAACATCCACCAACCCACTCACCTAACCACTCACTCACCCATCCGTTTACCCACTCACTCACTCACTTACTGACTCAACTAACCCAGCCACTCACTCCCTCATTCACTCACTCCCATTTCTCTGTGTGCCAGAATCTAATGCACGCACTCACTCACTCACTCAACCACTCAAACACTCAAACACTCACTCACTCAACCACTCGTTCAGGGCCTCAAATCTCTGGGTTTCATTTCTCTGTGTGCCAGAATCTAATGCACTCACTCACTCACTCACTCACCACACTGATTAAAAGTCTACAAATTATGACTTTATTTCTCTTCCCATCAGATCAAAATCTGCAGTGGGACTCCTCCCTTGGGTGTGGGACGGCACACGTGACTGGGAATGTTACCTATAGCAACGGACGTCTACATGTGCCACGTGACGGCGTGTACTACATCTACTCCTTCCTTACAATACGTAGCGACACCCACTCACTCACCTACCCGCCCGCAAACTCACTCATTTCTCCGAAACACCCACACACCCACTTCATCACCCACCCACCTAATGACCTCCCCCGACTCCCCCACTCACACCTCCACCCTCACTCACCTATCCACCCCCCACTCATTCATCCAAAACCCACTCAATCAGGGCCTCTGTGACAGAATCTAATGCACGCACTCACTCACTCAAACACTCACTCACTCAACCACTCACTCAGGGCCCCAAATCTCTGGGTCTCATTTCTCTGTGTGCCAGAATCTGCGCTCACACACTCACTCACTCACTAACTCACTCACTCACTCACCACACTGATTTAAAATCTACACATTATGACTTTATTTCTCTTCCCATCAGATCAAAATCTGCAGTGGAACTCCTCCGCCGGGTATGGGACGGCACACGTGACTGGGGATGTTACCTATAGCAACGGACGTCTACATGTGCCACGTGACGGCATGTACTACATCTACTCCTTCCTTACAATACGTAGCGACGTCGTCACAAACGACGACCTGAACATTGTCCACAGCGTCCAGAAGTACAACTCTGACCACATAGACACAGACAGGCACCTTCTCCTCATGGGCAAGACGTCATTGAAGGAGAGACATGGGCAGTTCACCAACAGTTTCTTGGCGGCAAATTTGAAATTGAAAAAAAATGATGAACTATTTGTCAGCTTGTCAAACACGTCCTTGGTATACACATTTCCACCTGCTAATTATTTTGGTGTCCACATGTTGTAATATCAGTTTAGAAATGTGACCAATAACAAGATATAACCGTCACATCAATATGAATAACTATAACAGGGGTGGTCGGGTAGCCTCGTGGTTAAAGCGTTCGCTCGTCACGCCGAGGACCCGGGTTCGATTCCCGACATGGGTACAATGCGTGAAGCCCATTCTGATGTCACCCGCCGATATATTGCTGGAATATTGCTGAAGGTAGCGTAAACCATACTCACTCACTCATTTCAACTCTGAAGGAAGTCATCGAGATCTACTCAACGGCTAGAAGATTGTAAGTGACACGTGACCAATATATGAAGATTGGAATTCCCTGTCTGCATCAGTACTAGTATCATACTACCGCTTATTGCTCATGATAAGCTACTAAAGGCACGTTTTGAACTAAGGCAGCGCTTGGAATGAGCTTCAGTGGCTACCTTTAAAGTCGCAGTAGTGGTTAATGGTCTAATTTCCTGCTACTCACTCTCTAGATTTACCTCCCTTAGCTGCCAAGGGACCTGCTGATCTCGATTATAATCCTCGACATTCCTGTGTCACTCGTTGGTATTCCTGTCGAGTGAAGCTTTGCAGAAATACTCTTGAAAGCGTCTCAATCATTCTGGTGATTATCTTCGTTTGGTGAATGACGGACCATATCTACATTCCACTATGATACAAAAGTCATACTTTGTTATGTTAGTATTGTAGTATTTCATCTGATTGTAGAAACACAGGACCATATCTACATTCTCCCATAATACAAAAGTCAGACTTTGTTAATTCAGTATTGTAGTATTTCATCTGATTGTAGAAACACATAATTAAGTCTCCAATGCGACCTATCATTATGGCACACGTTTTGTTGACGAGGATTATAACTGCGACCGACTCTCTTGCTCAGCTTCAATGCTTGCTTTAACCATTTTTGAGTTACTCGCGTTGTACAGTCAGTTCATTGTTATTGGGAATGTATTGTTGTGATGTGCAATCCCAACTGGGAATAAAGAGTATAAATTCCAACGACAATTGTCTAGTTTGTGCACAGGGTGTTATGTTGCATTTTGTATAAAATCAAATGAATTCCCATAAAATAGCACATATGTCTATGCATAATCAATACCAAATAATTAAGCAATCATCTGTTACCGCTAAAGTAATTTCAAGTGTCTAATACAATTGAAATAACTATTGTATCAAACTGACGTCCAGGACCCAGGTTTATTCGGGAGGTGTCGGTATAATTCGTAACTCATTCGTGACTTTAAATGCATTGTCATCTTATGATATAGTTAACTAAATTTGTTAATAAACTTATTGCCGAATATATAATGTAAGCATATTTTCAGAAGTTGCTGTGTTTTTATTATTATTATCTTTATCCTTATGATTCAGATTGGAACATATCCGATGCCGTTGATTCACACCATAGTGTAAATGGCTAAGACAAGCTCTCCTCAGGAGACCGCCTCCGTGGTCTAGTGGTAGAGCGTCCGCCCGGAGAGCGGAAGGTCCGGGGTTCGATCCCCGACCGCGTCATACCAAAAGACGTTAAAAGATGGTACTTGTTGTTACCCTGTCTGGCGCTCGGCATTAAGGGGCTAAAACAAGGACTGGTCGGCTCGGAGTCAGTATACTGTGTCTGAGTGGGGTATTCATGTTAAACTGCGGCATGGTATCTCAGTGAGCTAGCACTATAAATCGGCATCAGTCCGGACTAGTACAAGCAGCCACACAAACACACACACGTACATGCACGTCGCTATATAAGTGCAATAATCTTGGACGCGACGTTAAACCCCATTTCACCTCACCTCACCTCTCCCCACGGTGACAAGGCTGAAATACTAGTCAATGCGGTGTTAAGCCCAACTCACTCAATCAATCACTCACTCACTCACTCACTCAAACGGTTTGAGGTAGCATCTATAGACTCTCATAGGGTCCAACCCGACGTTCAAAACGACATCCAGCCCAAATCAATCATTTTATTGTTAACCACACACGTCATCATCACACATGTTCATGATATGTGTGATATATGACACAGTTAAACTGAAGAGCTAAAACCCCACTTTGATATAGAACGATAATTACCAAAGGCGCTATCACAAATGCTGAATAACGTATTCACTACAAGTGATCTATATCCGCCTTGCTGAATGCCACTGTAATTCGATGGCCAGGTCATTGATCCCACAACAATCACTAGTTCTCTGGTACAGTGTTGTTTGTTTTTAAATACATAGCTTTACATCAAGTCACAATATCCTTCCAATCTAGTAGTCCCCGTTCACACAATTAGCCGTATCGCTAAATGTACCCGTCGGGAACGAGTGAACTTCGGATTCCATTATTTGTCGAGTTTATAGGCGTTATCCCATTTCTGGTCCAGGGGAGATGAGTAATAATATAGTCAAAAATCTCTTAAAGTTCGAAATACTGATCCATAGCATTCATATTCTGATCACAAGTTAGAAATTGGATTCACTATCAACAGCCAAAAGAAAAACTTAAGTCAGAAGGAAAGGGTGCATAGTCAGAGAAATGCGAACATTTGTGACTTGTTGTGTAAGCATAGAGTTCTAGATAATGTTTGTCATTAAACAATATATCACGTGACTAACCACGCATCCGGGTAGTCCTGTGGGTACCCGGGTCCTACTCAGTACCCACCCGACCTGGGTACCCGAATCACCCGTCCCAGACTTAATAAATTCACACATTGTCACACAAAGAAATACTAATTCCACAAAAAGACATATAACTATGGTTCATATACAGCAAATTACTTTAATCTTTTTACTTCTTGTAAAGAGGTGGTTGTTGACATCAGTGTGCAAGCACAATCATCACAACACATCCAGCAAGTCAGTCATCCTGTATAACAGAGGCATTTTAATCCTCCCTGTGTGAACCAAACCGTCATTATTCGTCATCCACAGTGATGTGGACACCCCTCCCTGGAACTTGACTGACATCAACTTCTGTTGATTTACACCCGCGATTGACTTCTTCATAGGTTTTATTCAGCACATCCATCAGAATGAGAATGATTGCTTCCTTAACCCCAATATACATCAGGTAATCTGTGGCAGCTCTGAAGTGTGAAAAAACATATGTTTATGTAAAAACAATTGACTAAACACCGTAGCTCACAAACAAATCAACACATGTAGTCAACAGTTTGAAAAATCAACAAAGCCAGTCATCTAACAGTATTTGCTGAAAGCATTGTCATTCTGCTAAATAGAACTATTTAAAGAAAATGCAATGAATATTACAAGAAATTACAGCATTACTGAAATATTTGGTTAACACATCTGACATCATTGGAACAAGTATGTGATGTTTCAGTGTCATTGTTTATGTGGTTTCTAAGGAGAAGAGAGCGTGAGTGAGTATGGTTTTAACAATATTCTAGCAATATCACGGTGGGGGACATCAGAAAGGGGCTCCACACATTGTACCGGGTCTTTGGCTTGATGAGCGAATGCTTAACCACTAGACTGCCCTACCACCCCGAAGGATATGATGTTTACTCACATGACAGAAAACCAGTCCATGACATTAACTGGGTACAATGACATACAGTCTGCCAGGCAAACATATTTGACCACCTCATACTGACTTGAGCATGACAGTCACTGGAACTGTGTACCCCATGAGCACCATTCCATTCTTTTACCTGTCAGTGCTAATGTACGGTTAAGTTTTGGCTTCCATTTGTTCTTTGGTAATCACCTATCAGCGCTAATTAACTGTTGGCTTCCCTTGTTAAGTCCCCACCTTTGTTATCTTATTACTTTCATTGTTCTCACAGGTACATATATATGTTCTCTGCCTCGTAGCATTCATCGACTGCGAAATAGCCAACAGCTGAAGCAGTCGTAAAATCACTACAATCTGTCTCTCACATTCATAGCGCCTCCCGCACGGACATTTTCAGTGGCAAGGCACACGGCTAACTAGCTAAGTCTCATCACTTATCTCCCTCTCCCCTCTTAACTATAATGTAACTTTATTTATATTATCTTTTGTCCCCCTTGTTTCAAGCTTAACTTTGATTGTTCTTATTTTGTATTGCCTTGTACTATTTCATTACCCTCAAACAAACTATGACATCAACTCACACACACACCTCACCTCAATCAGACTCATAATTCACTACACCCATCCACTCAAGTAATACACATTTCCCAGGTCTCACGCCCACATACAACACTAACCCCATCCCTTTAGACTCTGGGCGAGACCTAGATGAATCAATCTTCCACCCATCCCACAGCAACATCACCCCCCCCCCCCCCCCCCCCCTCCCCCAGTAACCATACAGCCTCCCCCTACCAAACGACCCAAAACAGCCCAAAACACCCCTCGTACTCCAAACCTACAAAACGCCCAAACTACTGCCCTACACACATCAAACAAAAAATCATGCTCTCAACAAACCCCACCCACCAAACAAAAACACATCCTCCTTGCATTCATCCACCCCACTCAATGACAGCTTTTCAAACAACAAGTTCGCCCTCTGTCTGCAACAAAATGAAATAACACACAAATTCATCAATAGATGCGGCAGAGGGTTTAAAGTTACATTCCCAACACAAGACACACTCAACCAAGCACACAGACATCCAATCATCGACGGTTTCAACATCACATGGCAAACATCCAAATGGTTAACTCAAATTCAAGGGGTCGTTTACATTGACTACATAGGCACACGGGACGATATAACCGAATACATCCACACAGCAAACAGACTCTCAACACAACCCCAAATAACAGACTACAAAAACATAAATACCAGAACCTCAACACCTGGCAGGACAACAACACAGACAGTATTTTTAACTTTCAAGTCCATCACATTACCCACACACATAGTTTATGGTGTCCTCGCTTACAAAGTAAACCCTATCAGAAAAAACCCACAACAATGCAACATCTGCCACTCATACAACAACACTGCCACATGCACACAACCGCCCATGTGTCACAAATGCGGCTTATATCGCCACGGGGCCATTGAGTGTACAAGGCGCCCCCCCCCCCCCCCCCCCCCCCCCCCTACTGAATCCACTGCAACACTGAAGGACACACTGCAACACAAAACATCTTGGCTCTCAAACAGAAACACATTCTTTGCCTTAATAAGCACGTTAAACAAGAGCATCTGCCCAAACCGGCCAGAATCATCACAACATACAATAGCCTCCCAGAATATGAGGACACCTCAGATGCATCATCCTGCCTACTACCTGACCCGTTCCCCCCTTCCCCCCAACAAAATGCAAACAACTTCCCTTCTCCTGCAACACACACAGCCCAACCTACCAGGTACATACCCCCCCCCTACCAGACCTCGCCAGACCCTGCCCCCTCCATGCCCGCCGTACCCACACCCAGCCGGCCCAACGTACAAACCAGAAAGGCCCCTGTTACCACCACCCCTCACTTGCCCTCCTCCCCCCCCCGGTCCAACCACCCCACCCCCCCACCCCCCCATCTCCCTACCACAGCAGTTCCCCCTACCCTCTCATACCACACAACCAGCCGCCATCTCCCTACCACAGCAATTCCCCCATCCCCCATCCAACCACCACCCCAGCCGCCATCTCCCTACCACAGCAGTTCCCCCCACCCTCTCATACCACACAACCTGTACAGTTCAAATCAGCTAACCCCATCCAATCTACCCAAACACACAGAAAAACGCGACACCCTACATTTAAAACAAACTCTAGCAGGAAACAACTCATCACACACAAAATCCAATCACTCCGAACAGCCCCTTCACAATCAGTCACTTCCAAAAAATTGCATTATTACACAAACAAGCTCACCGAATTTCTGTCAGCTGCACGACTTATTAAAAAAAAACATACCCAGGAAAATCCACACCCTTGCCCTGGTGTCCACTCTATACCACAAATCTTTTCCAAACTTTCAGACAGGCCTAAAAGCACTAAGATAAATCTCACCCACTGCCGATACCTCTTCCAAATTAAGCCCCAAACGCCATGCTACCTTCACTAAAATTCCCACTTCTTTATCGCTTCTGATCATGGTGTTCTTACAGTGGAACGGCAATGGACTCACCTCAAAGGGGCATGAACTTAAGGCCCTCATTGCCCATAACAAAATTAACCCACTTATAATAGCAGTATAAGAAACCAAAATTTCACCAAAAAAGCCTTCAAATTGCCAGGTTACCATTTCCTTCATCAAGATAGACCCCGACCATGAAATATTCCAGGACCACCACATGGAGGCCTGGGACTATTCTATAAATCAGAATTAAATAGTGAAGAAATTACCTTACCTATGCCTAACTTACACGTCCTGGCAATAAAAACAACAACAAATATAACAAAAATAACCATTATTAACAGCTACCATACTAAAACTAATCCATTTACACGAGAAGATCTCGAAACACTATCCAAATTCATATGCCCAAACACTAGCACAAAAACGGGGGCACGGGTGGCCCAGTCGTCTAAGGCGCCGCGATTCGCTGTGCAGAGTTGCGTCCCTTGGGCACGCCAGAGACCTATGATTGTGGGTTCGAATCCCGGTTCGCCCCAATTATGTTTCTAGGTTTGTCAGCACCATACCCGTGCTCGTGGGTTTCACCGAAGTGGTAAACGTCTGAGACCTGCATCACTTCGGGCTTTCCTCCCACATTAAGCTGACACGCCGTGATATAACTGGAATAATGTTAAAAGCGGCGTTAAACCCAACTCACTCACTCACTCACTAGCACAAAAACAATACACAGTGGCAATTTACATATATTTTTCTATAGCTTTGGACATGGTTTTGCATAACGGCCTTATCCGAAAAACTGTTAGACAAAGCCAATAGATGGTAGAATATTAAATTTCTTTCACTCTTTCCTATCAGACAGAAACATAACAGTAAAGTCAAACCACACACTATCAGACCTGTACCCTCTTGAACATGGTAACCCACAGTAAAGCATCCTATCCCTAACACTATTTAATCTTATGATTGATGACATTTTTCCCAGATTACCTACAAACATAACAACAGCCAAATTCGACGACAACATTTCCTTCTGGACGTCATCAACATCACTGAAAGAAATCGAAAAAAGAATTAAACCCAACCTCTCTGACCTCGAATACTGGGCTTACTATATACCCTTACTAGGCTGGCCTGAGGGATGTTTCCTTCATTATGACAACCATTTGTTTATCTTGTTTTAAATAAAGAAGTTTAATCAATGTCAAGGGCACCACCAATAGAACCCCGCGACTCTCTAGCTCACTTAACGTAAGAAGAATGAATGACAATAAATTCTAGGGAAAAGAGGTTGAGAGCAAACTGTCGTTGACATATTTAACATCGGATGCAAAATATGTGTGTACTTTTCAGAGACAATAATAACTTGTACCATTCAGGCAAACCTTTGCTTCATAAGCCTTGAAGCTTTATCCCATAAGCCAAAAATTCAGTAACACCAGAAAAAGTGGGGTATGTGTAATTCATTACTGAATCAAAATTGAAATTCACCAAATCAAATGTACTGCTGTTATTGAAAAAACATTCTTACTCCATATCAATGTTCATAATGATTTCAAATTTAAACATGTTCAATCCATTGAGGTGTAATAATCTGAACAATCATGCATGCCAAATTTCAGCTGGTCCACTGATTTCTAAGAATAACATGATTCCAAACAAATAGGACATTACTTCAGCCCAATTAGGCTTTCACATTTTATTCACTATATCAAATTCCTACCCTAAGAAAATTGAAAGTATGCATTATTGTTTCCTTACCTGCACATATTGCACAACCGTTTTCTGGCAGATGTTTATGGCTGGTTATGTCAATGTCATGTTGTTGAAGCTGTTGAGCCAATGCAATAAACATGCAGTTACCCGCCCCTTCATTGTCCACAATGTCAAGGTCATAGAATGAGGCCTCCATCTCCAGTTCTTTCATAGTTGGAGTCTTCTTGTGTCCTGCATAGACACATTATAATAGGTAACACAAACTGATCTGTAATATATCTCTCAGTATCATTTTATTTTGGAAACATTTATTCCGTTGAAGTGTTCAATGAGTGTAAATGTACTCTGAAAGGTGGACAATTCGTACAAGTATAGATTACCCTTCTTATTGTGCATGCATGCATGCATGAGTGAGTGTATTAATGCATATGCCTAATGTTTTGGAGACTTACCATTCCAGAAAATTCCTTTGAGGTGTCTCAAATTGTAATACACTTTTCATCCTGTGTTTTCCCCTTCTGGGTGGATTTTCTACCCTCTTCTCTTGCATATGTTAGAAAAATATATGAAAAAAATACGAACATATCACCAATGTTCAGGGTATGTAATAGAGCGACCAATTCAACTGGTAAAGGAACTGAACTGAAAATAAACAAATGTTTCATAAACCATAGTCTGCAGTTTGATTCCAGACCCTTGATTAGTTGTGTATTGTATACCACTGAACCTCCTGTGTCAATGTTAACTTTTGTTCCAAGAAGACAAACTAATGAATGTCCCTTGTAAGTAATGTATAACATCACAGGAAGTATCATATACCTCATTAATGCTAACGATTTGAGTACAACTGACATAACAATTAATGACTACACCAAATTATTTCAATACCTTGCAAAGTGGTGAATTAGTAATGGCATGTAATTACATTTGCTGTGATCTAGATAATACTTTCAAAATTCCACAACAGCAAACACATAAACTAATGTATGTTCCCGATTTTAAGTATGATGCCTTTTCTTTTAGTTGACACTGCAGTGTAAGCAGCATCCACACTGTCTGGGTACCATGTCATACAAAAAACCAAGTTACCCGACCACCTGATCAATTTAGTCACCTCAAGCATGTATTGCTGGAGACCTATTTCAACCTGCAGTAGCAGCATGAGTTGTATCATCTTTGATAACTGGTTTGCTTACTTGTCCAAATTGGTATTTTCTAAGAAATGCAAAATATAAAAAGTCTACCCAAAAACTGAATAGCCACAGGGACCAGTTCAGAGCCTGCCTGATGTGTATACAAAGTTTCATAAGAAAGTTGCAATGGTTTATGAATTGTGGTCTGGAAACGAACCCCACCCTCATGTGAACCAACTTGTTGCCACGAAAATGCAAAAGAAATATTATAAACATTCCAGCATGGGAAAAGGCACAAATTGTGAGGGTGCCTAGTGCTCATACAAATTTTCATGAGGAAATATTGAACACTGATAAGTTATGCTCTGGATACAAAATGTGACAGATGGACACACTGATGTTGTTTCTATATCGACATCTGCACTTAGTTTGGTTGAGGGGAAATTATCAACACACCAAATACATTACAAATACCATGTCTTTGCAGTCCGTCAAGAGGGATGATTCTATCATCTGATCACTTCCACTTCACATGTAGTTTTACCTCATATTCTAAACATATCATTACTTCTAATATCTTTCACATCTTCTGTCATTATTGCACAGGTTTACAGGACCCGATGACAGTTATTATCCCCCGCCCCTACAAAAATAAAATTATATTTTGTATAAAGTGTTGAAATTTGGACTTAGTCCCTGAACTGAATGGAAGCAGTGGGGTTTACCAGAGCAGAACTCAAAAACTACTCAAGATATCTTCATGAATCTTGGTACACACATTCACCATATCGTGTAGGTGTGTCTTTTGCTATTTATGATGATTCTGATTATCTATAAACAAATATATATATATATATATCTTATACATTTTGACATAGTACCCGAACTGAATGGAAGCAGTGGGGTTTACCAGACCAGAACTCGAAAACTACTCAAGACATCTTCATGAATCTTGGTACACACATTCACCATATCGTGTAGATGTGCCTTTTGCTCTTTATGATGATTCTGATTATCTCTAAATAAAATATTTTTTTTTTTATAAATTTTGACATAGTCCCCGAGCTGAGTGAAAGCAGTGGGTTTCATTTCTGGAAAGAACTGGAAAATTACTTCAGAGATATCTTTCAGAAACTTGGTAAGCACATTCACCCTATAGTGCAGATAGACCTTTTGCTATTCATTCCCCCGAAAATTTGGTTGTATATAAATTTAATAAATTTAGACTTGAATTGAATGGAAGCAATTTTAACACTTACCTCAGTACTGCTATGTACTTCTCCATGAAACTTTGTACAATATCAGTCTATGGGTGTTATAGAGTCTTTGTTCTTTAAAAACTTCAAAATATGATTTATTTCTTATTCTAATTAAATGACACCCCAGTTGACACTGCAACAAATCCATAAAAGGATTGATAGAATATGTATCAGAAATTCACCAGGTTCACCAGGTTCTGAGTGGTCAGCATGCTTACAACTTTTGTACCTTATCTGTACCGTGCACCTTACTCTGGTAACTACATGTACCTGTAAAGGGCTGCAACAATACCTGCATGAAAACAATGCCCTACAATACAATTCATGATGTTTAAATGAGTTAATTGTGCAGTGCTCAAGTATACAAATATTCCTTGCCTTCACATACTGGAAGATGATTATAACCTGTGTGTTTATCATTACAGTCTTACTAAAGCAGATATTTGTACAAAGTTTATGGAGATGTTATATTATCCCTTGTATTCAACCTCTTCCACAAGGAGGTGAGACTAACCGATAATTTTCATCACATTTGATTGCACATATCATTGTATTTAAGACTAGACAATGGGCGGGGGATATAGAGATGTTATATTAGCCCTTGTATTCAACCTCTTCCACAAGGAGGTGAGACAAACTGACAATTTACGTCACATTTGATTGCACATATTGTATTTAAGACTAGACAATGGGCGGGGATATAGAGATGTTATATTAGCCCTTGTATTCAACCTCTTCCACAAGGAGGTGAGACAAACTGATAATTTTCATCACATTTGATTGCACATATTGTATTTAAGACTAGACAATGGGCGGGGGATATAGAGATGTTATATTAGCCCTTGTATTCAACCTCTTCCACAAGGAGGTGAGACAAACTGATAATTTTCATCACATTTGATTGCACATATTGTATTTAAGACTAGACAATGGGCGGGGGATATAGAGATGTTATATTATCCCTTGTATTCAACCTCTTCCACAAGGAGGTGAGACTAACCGATAATTTTCATCACATTTGATTGCACATATTGTATTTAAGACTAGACAATGGGCGGGGGATATAGAGATGTTATATTATCCCTTGTATTCAACCTCTTCCACAAGGAGGTGAGACTAACCGATAATTTTCATCACATTTGATTGCACATATTGTATTTAAGACTAGACAATGGGCGGGGATATAGAGATGTTATATTAGCCCTTGTATTCAACCTCTTCCACAAGAGGTGAGACTAACCGATAATTTTCATCACATTTGATTGCACATATTGTATTTAAGACTAGACAATGGGCGGGGATATAGAGATGTTATATTAGCCCTTGTATTCAACCTCTTCCACAAGGAGGTGAGACTAACCGATAAGTTTCATCACATTTGATTGCACATATTGTATTTAAGACTAGACAATGGGCGGGGGATATAGAGATGTTATATTATCCCTTGTATTCAACCTCTTCCACAAGGAGGTGAGACTAACCGATAATTTTCATCACATTTGATTGCACATATTGTATTTAAGACTAGACAATGGGCGGGGGATATAGAGATGTTATATTATCCCTTGTATTCAACCTCTTCCACAAGGAGGTGAGACTAACCGATAATTTTCATCACATTTGATTGCACATATTGTATTTAAGACTAGACAATGGGCGGGGATATAGAGATGTTATATTAGCCCTTGTATTCAACCTCTTCCACAAGAGGTGAGACTAACTGATAATTTACGTCACATTTGATTGCACATATCATTGTATTAAAGACTAGACAATGGGCAGGGGATATAGATGAGTTCACCCTCTTGTTATGCGTAATGACATAAATCCTCCATACCTCATCACTCCCTGCAGATAGTTCGCACTGCTCATCTTCTTCAGAGCAAGAGCTTGCATCAACTGTATTCCCAGCTCTCAACAAATTCTTGAAGTGTACTGGAGGGCAGCCCAGCATGGCCTTGTATGGTGAACAACCTGTTAACATGGGTATTTATTTTTAAATACAAGCATGTGTTTCTCATGTCTCCTTCAAAATTAAATGTCACAACTGCACTGTGGCAATCTTGATATTTCCAGAGTTCTATAAATTTGCAGAAACCTGATTGCAACGATATTTTGGGCAATATCTGGTCAACTATGAGCCATTATCGTTTCACTGTGTCATGATGGTTATTTGTTGGTCATTGCTTAAAAAAACATTCAATGTCGTACATCTACATTTACGATGCTAACAGTCTGAAAAGTATATGCTTACATTGTGTGCTTCACACTGTGTGACATATGCCCAGATTAAATCAAAGCTATATATTTAAACGTTACCAAGAGCAGAATGAATGCTTTCGTTGTGCATCCTAGCATATGCTGGCAACATTTCCACCACGGTAAAGCTTTCTCCTTCACCATGTTTCCTGTGATCAAATTCCAGATGGCTTTTCCAATCCCAGTGTGATCGTTCATACTGAAACAAATAAACACCTAAATAATAAACAGATTAGGCAGTGTCACATAAAATGCCTTATTAGACAATTTAAAGGTAAAAAATGCACACATGTGTTATACCATGTATTATACCATGTATATTAAATAAATAACAAAAACAATTTCCATAATCATAAGAAACCTCCACTAAACCTGGGTCCATTGTACGATTCCAACAATATCATGAGTATGTGTTATGAATCAATATAAAATAGTGATAGTAGCAGGTGTTTGCGAAGGTTAGTGTATCCTGCCCCACTGGTGTCATCTGTCACACACACATGCAAGTCATACACAATCTTTTTGGCTTGTGGCTCTGCCCTTAAGATGACATGTTCCAAATAACATCAACATTAATGTTCTTCCTATTCAGTGTCTACATCTATTACCGTAACCTTCATAGTGCACATGTTTTAATTGAAATTTGTCACCCATCTTTCCCTGAGATTGGGGATGGTGAGTTCGACTTCGGACAATCTTTGTGCCCATTTCAATGCATAGTTGGTTGACTGCTCCCTTAAACTCCGAGCCTTGATCACACTGTAATATCCTTGGATTTCCCCATCCATACTCAAAGTAGATTTTGTAGAGTTCCACAGCAACTGAACTGGCTCTTTTGTTTGAAAGAGGCCGAAGCCACGAGAATCTTGTGAAAACATCAATCACTGACAAGATGTAAATTAATATTTCACCATCATTTTCTGCAGGCTTTCCAGTTAGTTCCACAAGGTCAACCTGATGTTGCCCCATTGGTGTTGTTGAGATCACCGGTTTTAGTTTGTCGACATTTGCAATTTTAGGACGTAACAGTTGCCTGTCATCCTGCCTGTCTATAAACTCTTGTATGGCTTCCTGAGAAATGCCAGCATAATATTGGTTTATCAATGTTCTTATTTTGCTCCAGAACCCCGCAACTCAGTGTAAAATTTGCATATGACCTTAACAAGTTCTGACTTTGATACCACTATTTTCCTGTCCCCATCAATAATCTCCTGTCTGTATTCTCCTTTGACAGGGTTGTGAATTTCTGTCAAATATTTCTATGAATCGAGGAAAATTCAAATAAACAGAAACTCAGAACTATTTCTTTCTTATTGATTGAGCAGGTGGTACATGGTGATAGTCTTAACATAAACTGCATATAGAGTTACTGTTTTTCATAATGACTGCCATATCAGCCTTTCAAATCACAAGGTTCACTGAAATGTGATCATATTGTGGTATAAATAGTAACTAAAGCCTACAACAGTCAGGCAATGTAAACATGTAAACCTTAAATCTGTGCATTATTTTAGTTTTTCAGAATACCAGGTTATCATATTGATTGTAAAGAGAGAAAGGGAAACATTTCCCACAATCACCTCTTGGGAAAGAACTTTTCAAAATGTCTTTACCATGTTTACTACTTGCAGAAATGGTCCCTATTTTAGTGTCAAGTATTCATACAGAACTGTAATGGAATGTCATACTCACTTTAAAAAGTACGCATCATAGGCTCACGGTAATGTGACAATCATAAAAATGACTAAGTTATTTAGCATAGGTTGTAGAAGTAGAAGGAGCCTTGATATACATATATATTCATTATTATAGTTGTTTGTCATTTGAATAATTAATGAATTTTAATTATGTACATGACTGGATTGCAGTTCATGATATATCAATAGAATTATAGGTAACAAATAACCTATTCATATATTCATTTTCTTTGATGGTTGTCTTTTTTCACTGTGTTGAACTGACACTTCCACAAAAGTAATTGAAAGGTTACTCAACAGTTAACTTATTTCAATTCAATAATTTGTGTGGAGGCTGGATATGTTTTCAGCTTACAGCTGCAAAACCAGATTTTCCTCACATAAGTCTATGAACCTGTGTAGAAACCGATTAGTTCTAAGCTTAAGAGGGAATCTGATCTTGCATGATTTGCAAGTATGTCAAGAAAATCTCAAGTATGTCCAGTTGAACACTCTATATGTGGCCAACAACAAAAGAAGTAAAGAACCCCTTCATCCACAGATCATACCTTAAGTTGGTTGGTTGGTGGGTTTGTTGTTTAACGCCGCACTCAGCAATATTCCAGCTATATGACGGCAGTCTGTAAATAATAGAGTCTGGACCAGACAATCCAGTGATTAATATCATGAGCATCGATCCACGCAATTGGGATACGATGACATGCATCAACCAAGTCAGCGAGCCTGACCACCTGACATACCTTAAGGAAACTTGGGCTAGTATTTGAACAGTTTCATTTTGATTACTATTTTTTTTACAATAAAAGACAATTATGTCTCAACATAACGTGACCCACTATGTAGTGCTACTAATGCCTCAAAAAGAAACAATTTGAAATATTGGAAAATATGATACTTTCATATTTTTTTAACAAATGAAGTATACAAGTCTAAATTGAGAAACAGAATTTTATTTCTATCCTATGAACATGGTGCTGCAAATACTCACTTTGCAGGTCTTTTCTTCAAGACTTTCAAAATATTTATTATTACCAAAACAAGATTTGATATGAGTAAATTAGTATCATACATGGCAATTATCACTGCTAATTACCTGAGATATGTCAATTTTTAAAAAGGTATGCTGAAATGTATATGCCTAAATTTAAAGCAATCATATTACTAACCTTCAATATTTAACTGTCATCAGGACAGATAATTGTAGCGCCAATCCAACAGCAATATAACAAGGAGACACGATTCAATGTTACACACATGGATTGTTGATACAGAACAGTACCTGGAACAGTTGAAAAGTCATTCACATTCCATAAACAACCACATACAACAAATTTATATTCTTAGCTACTAACTTCAGGAAGCAATGGTCATTGGCCTTTTCAATGAAACAAGTGTTTTCATTGGCTAATTCATCATGACTGACAGAAAGGAGGAAAGAGCAATACCAGATCAGTGACCATAAACCCTGGTACCGAGGATGGCATAATGTTGCATCCTACACACACCAACATGCCAGCTCTCTGTATTAATGAGATCAAAAGCATGCTGTGTATTGAATGAAAGAACACAGTGCCCCTAAGTGAGTGCACCATACAAACATAAAGGGGTGGAAATATACAGGTATCTGTGTGAGAGGGAGGTAGAGGACCTACATTAGCAACCCTAGGTATGGGTAATTTATTATGGGGGAGTGTGGGGTTGAGGTTAGGACCATATTTAGATGAGACTATTTCCTAATTCCTCGTCCTGAGTGAGAAGTTAGCATGTAATGTTCTACTTAATGTTAACTGCCTCTGAATTAAGTTCTCTATTAGGAAGTCATTCTTGGTCCAGAAACTTAGCATACTACTACACAATGTTTTTCACCCAATTCTGACAGAACATCATAGCACAGCAAACAGGGATTCCAGGTTGGGTATCCAGCAAGGTAGATGTAATAATACCTCCACTGACAAATACAGGGAGTAATAGCTACAGAGTACATTGATTTAGTGCAGTGACTGCACACAGAGAGGCAGCTCCACACACTGGACTTCAGCCATGCATGCCTACACTGTTAACACAGATTCACTGACAAATACAGGGAGTAATAGCTACAGAGTACATTGATTTAGTGCAGTGGCTGCACACAGAGAAGCAGCTCCACACACTGGTCTCCACCATGCATGCCTACACTGTTAACACAGATCCACTGACAAATACAGGGAGTAATAGCTACAGAGTACATTGATTTAGTGCAGTGACTGCACACACAGAGAGGCAGCTCCACACACTGGTCTTCAGCCATGCATGCCTACACTGTTAACACAGATTCACTGACAAATACAGGGAGTAATAGCTACAGAGTACATTGATTTAGTGCAGTGACTGCACACAGAGAGGCAGCTCCACACACTGGACTTCAGCCATGCATGCCTACACTGTTAACACAGATTCACTGACAAATACAGGGAGTAATAGCTACAGAGTACATTGATTTAGTGCAGTGACTGCACACAGAGAGGCAGCTCCACACACTGGTCTCCACCATGCATGCCTACACTGTTAAAACACTGACCATCGTTTATATGCTTTAACAGTTGCATCTCACCTGGCAAGCTGGCAGAACCTCTTGAGGTGCACACTGACCGTCTGCCTTGAGGAGCCGAGCAAGTCGCCCACTGTTGCTGTAATGGGAGAGAGAGTGAATGAAACGTTTCGTCTACATGGGGTTGTACATGGTCAAAGGGATCAGGAGGGGCCTATGCACTATGTCCAGGAAGGGGGCACCCAATCATTGTAGACTTAAGTCCTTAACAAGTAGAGAAAGATGTATTGTATAAGTATGGAGCTTGGTGACAAGGGGTTTTTACTGTGTTGGGTATGGAAGTTACAGCAAAGATATGTCAATGTTTTGATCAGGGCTACTGTGGTGCATCACTGAATGTTTCGGAGACAGGCGAGTTGGGTTGACTGTAATTCGCGTAACTTTCGATCTGTCCGAAGTCGAGGCTTGCAAATACAGTTCAGCACAGTCTTCAAAGACACATAAACTACATGTAATATACCTGATGTGGAGATTGTGAGTGAAACATCGCGACGACAGATGAGTCAGGGATGCTTTCGGAGAGGTCAACCAGCCCTGCCAAAGGGTAAGGTTGGTTGGTTGGTTGGTTGGTTGTTTAACGCCGCACTCAGTTATTTTCCCGCTATATGACGGAGGTCTGTAAATAATCGAGTCTGGATCAGACAATCCAGTGATTAATATCATGAGCATCAATCCACGCCATTGGAATCGATGACATCCATCAACCAAGTCAGCGAGCCTAAGATAGTCACCTTTTACAGCAAGCATGGTAGACCTATTCTACCATGGAATCTTCACGGGTCTGGCCTGGGTAGGTAGCAGCTTTGCTTTGCGGTGAAGGGCGGAGATCAATCTGTACAGGGTCAGCTCCTGTTCACCACACGTGGAGTTAAGGCGTCTATGCCAACCTGTGAATAAAGAAGATATGGAATAAAA